CCCCCCCCCTGCCTGTACTTTAAAAATAACCTCAAGCTGGCTACAACAAGATAAGAAACACATTTTAATAAGTTACTGTAAAAGTAGAACAATTAAAATGTGTCATCTTGTCCACGTCTGCCATCGACCTCGCTCTCTTCCAGCATTTGCACTGCTCCAATCTGCAGCTCCACATTCGGTCTCTGCTCAGTTCAGCTGCGGTTGGACATCTAGATTGTTGGCCTGTAAGTCTAGATTCTGCTATGCAGGTGTGTCACTGGTTTATAATCTGTGACAGAATTGCACAATACAAGCTTGTTTGTGTAACCAAAATGAGAAGAAACAGCAGTTTTCTGTGTTTCAGTATCTTTGTCCAACAAGCTGTAATTGAGTAACTATGGAAGCTCAGCCACATAATAGGAAAAGATCCATGTTATTGGAAGAGATACATAAAAATATAAACCAAGCCCTGGACGGGCTTTCGTTTGTTGGACAGTGTTCAACAGCAACATTCAGCTAACATTATTTAGATTAGATTAGAAAGATTATAAAACCTAGTTCACTGTTACACTTGTATTAAAGGTCATACTCCCCATGAGAAAGTGTCCTAAATCAGTTTTAACTTGATTTCATTTATACTTGAGGCTTACACCAGAATTATGTCAGCTTCATTTGCAGCCTCTGAGGTTGCAGCACAGCTCGTGCGTGCTTGGACGGAGGCATCATAAGAGAACTGTGACACGCTGCTTTCTGCTTTTCCCAAAACATTTCTGATGCCAGCTGACCAACAGGAAATGAGCTCAGGAAACTCTGATTCGTCTCCCTTTTTAGCGATCACAACACAAACCTCCTGTGGACTCGAATCATTGATGTGAATGATTGAACGGATGAATGAACGTAAACCGAGCGACAGCAAAAAGCCTGCTAGAAATAACAGGAACACTTAGGTCAACGTGTTTCGACAGCAGGCAGAGGAGCTACAGATCAAATCCTACAGTGCAGGTTATCACAGCAGCGCTGCTTCTGTCAACTATCCACCCAGAGTTGTAAAACACTGATTTGGACTAAAGCTTGGTAACACTAACGGTCCTCGGGTGCTGCTGGCTCACCAATAAAGGCACTCACCTACTACGACAGGCAGGACCTTCATAGCTTTCCTCTCCCTGCTGTTGAGCTTGGCTCTCGTCTTCATTTGCTGCTGGCTGAAGGTCAGCGTAGGCACCGAGTTCTCTCTGTACTGCCGTGGATAAGGAATCTCCTGTTGTATGTAGTCGCCAGAATCATCCATGCGAGACTGGGCTAGATCTCTCTCAATAATCCTGGGCAGAGGCATGGGCAGAGGTCCAGGGATGGTGCCCGGCACTGGGGCGAGGGTCGTGGTGATGGCGGCGTGCTGCAGCTTCCTGCAGGCCTCGATGCTGCTTCGTAGTTTGGCCTTACGGGTCTCCTCCCAGCGACGCAGCCCGCGGAAAACCCCAAAGTAGAGCAGGACCATGATGGGGCAAGGAATGAAGAAGGAGCAGACTGAGGAATACACCACATAGTTGTTGTCCTCCAATTTACACTCTGTGGGATCACGGTTAGGTACGTTGTTGATGCCAAATATGACAGGCGAGGCCACTGCTAAGGCCAGCAGCCAGGTGGCAGATAGCAGGATGATCTGACGATGGTCCACATGTTTGCGGTTGTAGTTTAGTGGAATGGACACGGCAATAAACCTGCAGAAAGAAAGAAGCGTTCACAAGGATATGTTTAACATCATGATCTCAAGCGCTTGGAAGCATTTTGGTTTCCATTCGTAGTCTATGTGTAGTCCAAATTTGATTGTCTAATCATTTTTAGTAAAGCTATCATTAAATACATTAAATACTGGTAAATAGTCTTTTGGTAAGTAAAAGAAGTAAAATAATCTAAACTTTGTCCTAGGAAACATTTAGCTTTTGTCTACTTCTGACAGGAAGTCTCAGCCTGGTTCACAACACTGGAAAAAACTGTTATTCTTACAGTAACACAGCTGTTCAGAGTTTATATTGCATGATTTTCATTTCAGTATTTCCTGTTACTTCAAATGTATAAGGTTAAAAATGTAAATTTCAGTGTCAAAGCTGAATTATTCTGAGTTACAAAAATAATTCTCTGTCCTCGTGTCACTGAGCAAAGACTCCGGAGACTAATTCAGTCATAGTTACTGTCAAGTTATACTTTTTACCTTGATCGATCACGCTGGGTACGTAAGCGTTGTTTGGAGGTTTTAAATAAAAAGATAGACCTGGGAGCTTTGACAGTCATTTGTAAAGTGGACTCAGTCTATTAAAGGCTTTGGATGACTGTCTGCTGACATTTAGACAAACACAGGGACAAAATTTTTAGCCCATCTATGAAAATTTCATTAAAAAAATTGATGTTAAACAGAGTAAGGTTTTCACGCAGCTTTTCCTCTGGCCTATCCCAGCAGTCTTAGGGTGTGAGGCACCCTGGACAGGTCGCCAGTCTGTCGCAGGACTAACACAGATAACTATTTAACCTAACCCCACTAACTGCATGTCTTTGGACTGTGGGAGACGTGGGAGTACCGGGGGACAACATGCAAACTCCACACAGAAGGACCCCGGCCTGATGGTGATCCTGAACTCAGGATGACTTTACTCACTGGCCGCAGTGCTCAAGAGTAATATTTTGTGGTGGCTGTGCCTTTGAGAGAATTCAAAAAACAATTTTGATTCATTACAACCTCCCATGGCTCAACATTGATTTAACTTGGCAAACGAATATATCCGTCCTAAGCAGCTATATTTTCTGTCATTTTATTTTAGCTGCAATGATTTATAGTAAATCAGGCTTTTTGAAAAGCTGCAGTGACCTTGGACCTTTTCATGCTCTCTCGTAAATGATGAGTTCTCTTCCAAATCACCAAAGTTGCAAAGTTAGCATGACCCATAAAGCTACAACAGCCATATTAATGGTTAATTCACCAGACTGAAATAACCTGACATTGGCCTTTAAAAATAGAGAAATTTCAGTTTAGTGTGGATGTGGTGATACAGAAAGTCCACGAAACATTCGTTTTAATGCTTGTTTTTAACTTGAATTTCAGTTTGGAACTTAATTATTTTATAGGAAACAAAATGTGAGGAGTATATCTGGATTACACTGTTATCTGAATGAAATAACTATATGATGAAATTCCCTTTTTAATATTACGTTTTCTTCTTTGTAGCAAGTATTTGTGTCCAGAACAGCTGAAGGATTAATCACAGTATCTGCTGTGTTTTTGTTAGTTTTCACCTTTAAGACTCATCTTCATCAAATTCCTTTGACAGTAAAAGCAAGCATGTAGGAGCAACGTAAAGAGGTATACCTGTCCACACTGATAGCACAGAGGTTAAATATTGATGCGGTGCACAGCATCACATCCATGGTCATCAGGCCATCACACATCAGCATGTTTAAGGACCAGACTCCACCCTGAAACTGCACACACATAAACAAACACAAAAACACGCAAACCTTGAGTCAAAAGAAACTCACTGCAAATATTCCCAATCCTCTTGTCTTAGTGCCAAAAACGTTCCTGCATGAAGCATGACTCTGTCCCCTGACTTCTTCAGCGAGCACAGTAGGTGTTAACTTTCAGACAGACTTTCTAATCCAGTGACTGTATGTGGACAAAGCACTGGTGTGAAGATTAACTGGCTGTGACCACTGGCACAGATAACAAGATCTCAAATGCAGCTAGTTAAGGAGGATTTAAGGGGAAGCCTCAGCAGGGCGTCTCTATTATATTTAGACAGGCAGGCATGCAGGCAGGTGGCTCCTGATACTGAAGACAAGGCTACATCCTGGTCTTTTGCCTGCAGATGTTGTGAATTATGGGTCGTACCTTTTCTCAACACCAGAATAAAGCTCCCACTGTCTCCCCTCGGTCTTTATTTATCCTGATGAAAGACGAACAGCCGTCTCTGTTTTATGATGCTCTTTTTCTGATGAGTATAATTAGCTACCACGCTAAGTCACAACAATCTGAGTGTTAATCCTCCAGAATTGTTATAATTAATAAACACCTGAATTCAAGACAACAGCTTTCTGTCCACTAGTACTTTAGGGCTCACACATTATTAGAAACTGAAGCGTCACATTTTGCATCTTTTTGCAGTCCCTTTGCCATTTTCTTTTGGTAATCATTTTACCGATATGTGCTGATTTTGTCACTCTGCAGTTTCTTTTGTATCTCTGTTTGCATCTTTGTTATTTTGCATCTGCGTGCATCTGTGTGCGATTGTGGCTCAAGAGTTGGGAGTTCACCTTGTAATTGGAAGGTTGCCGGTTCGAGCCCCAGCTTGGACAGTCTCGGTCGTTGTGTCCTTGGGCAAGACACTTCACCTGTTGCCTACTGGTGGTGGTCAGAGGGCCCGGTGGCGCCAGTGTTCGGCAGCCTCGCCTCTGTCAGTGCGCCCCAGGGTGGCTCTGGCTACAATGTAGCTGCCATCACCAGTGTGTGGATGACTGGATATGTAAAGTGCTTTGGGGTCCTTAGGGACTAGTAAGCGCTATATAAATACAGGCCATTTACCATATATTTGGAGTTGTTATTTTCTGTGTTTCCATGCTCTTTTCTTTAACCTCCTGACATCCACATATGTGGACATCACATTTTGGGCTGTCTAGACCAAAATACTAAATTTTGCTCTACAAGGGCCTGATGTCCACTAACGAGGACGTTTTACTGACACTGTTCTATTGAAATTTAAAACCGATGTCCTCATATGTGGCTCTCATTTTTCTCAGAAACAAAAATCAGATAAAATAACAAAAAAAATTCTTTGTTTTTACATTCATCAGGTCCCAATCAGCCCAAATAGCAAAGAGAAATTAAAAATGCATGCTGTGGAAGAGTTCGGGTCTTATGAGGTTAAGGGTATTTTAGACGGGTTTGGAGTCTAAAGTTTGCATTTTACTGTTTTTAGTAGCAAGCATGTGTTTTTTTCCCCCCAGTTTTGCTATTTTTGCACAGTGGTTTGTACGTCTCGGTTACGTCTATTACGTCTATAGTCTCCAGGCCTTTAAAGTTCTTATGGGCACCTTGGATTTTGTGAAGTCTTGAAGCCACACTGTGCGGCCTTCAGTCTTTATATCTTTTTTCATTTCCTCTTGGTTAATGTTGCATCTGAACTGCAGGAGATGTAGAGATACCTGCTTATCTTCTGTCTGACGCTTTCTTCGAGTCACAGTCAGACTCATCTGCACGCATGCTGTACTAAATGCTGACCTGATAAGCCTGTTGGGTAATACGGCTCTTACCTCTGCGTAAACGAAGAGAGGGAGAACCAGCACCGCCAGCAGCAGGTCTGCAAATGCCAGACTCACTATAAAGTAGTTTGTAGTGGTTTTTAAAGCTTTCTCCAAGTAAACGCTTATACACACGAGCACATTTCCACAGGTGACGACGATGATCAAGAAAATCCCGAAAATGAGAGCTGGGAAGTTTAAATGTGTGACGGCGGCCGCCGGCAGGGTGTCGTTGTTAAAATCCGTGAAGTTGTCCGACATGGTCGCCGGTGTTGCGCCGTGCGCCGCAGACTGACGGGCTCCTTGTCCTACGAAGAGTTTCCTCCAGGGTAGTTTTCATCTATAAGCCGTTAAGGAAAGCAGAAGGTTTCCAGATGAAGTCGGGCTAAGTTGTTCTCCGTGGACGCGCATCCACGGCGCCCAGTGTGCGCACTGAAACCAATGCGCAAAGCCACACCGCTCGATGTAACCACGTTACCAGCCCTTAGGAACCCTTTCTTCAAATTTGACCGGCTGTCAAATGTGGATTCTCTGATAATTGCTCGCTACTGAAGGGGTAGCTGTGCAAAGTGGACGAATCAGAAGGCAACGGCTTAACCGGATAAATCTGCTTATGTGTTAACAGCCTCAGCAGGTTGGCAAATCAGGTTCGACCGAGACAGCAAACAGTGTGGAAATCAGCTGTTCCTCACATATGTAGACTTCTTACACTAAACTGCAGCTCTGAATATCAGTACATGGGAAAGACTTTACATGAAGTCATTCGTTAATTGTTTATATAATCGGAATGATTATTTTCTGCTACACTGAGCAACAATGAGACATATTTCAAACACATATTTGAACTCGATCTTTTTTCTAAAAGTATTCAAGTAGTTTTGAAGCTAGCCAATCAGGAAGAGGAGGAAAACGTCAGCAACAAGTGAGACCAAAGTGGTGAAACACAAACTGCGCTCATATAAGCGCCGCTCTACACTTGCTGTAATAAGCTGCAGTTATAACCCAAACATGCTGCACAGGTGTATGCTCTGTAACCCCCTGTCCCAACTTTGCTCAAATCTGGATCAAATTTCAAAATATTATTAACAATAATAATCTCAGTTTTAACATTTATTTATGGTAAATGAAGTACAACATATATAAGATAGAGCCACTAGTGTGCTACATGTGGTTGCAACATGAGAAACAAATGGGTAATGTGAAGATCGTTGCATCTATCTTTTACACTGTTTATGGTTTTATCTCAGCTGCTTCTTTTAGTTTCACATCAACAGCAGTCTCCTATTTTTTCATAATTTTCTTCTTCATCTCAAAAAAAGCCTGCAGCTCTCTATATTGGCACTATATTTAAAGTCATATAATTGGGTTTAACCGGGTATCACATGGCGGTCATCACATGATGAGCATTTCAAGTACTTAATGGGCATTTTGGCAGTGTTGGATTTTACTTGTTTCGTGTGTTGATGATCAAATATGTGGCTTAGAAATGAGCAAATGAAAATAAAGGCTTCAGAAAACTAATTTTAGCAGTGGCGGCTCTGCTGAGAGTCTGTAAATGTTAGCGTTGTTAGTGGATAATATGGCGCTTGAACCATGAAGGCTGCCATTACTGATATCTGCACATATCTAATGCCATTGCTGGGCATTCTTTCTGCTATTTTTCATGCTTGAATACACATTTCAGGAATATGGTGACTGACATATATCTGAATGACTGATTGGATATGCCCCGATGAGCAGTTATCATGATACTGGAACTGATGCTGAAGTCATTCTGCTAGAGTCTGAGAAGCAGAATGAGCTTCACAGTCATGTGTAATGAAGTGCTGCCTGCATCACCGCCTTTAAAGACTATCTGCTCTTAGGAATTTTCTGTTTCTCAGATTGAAACTGAAAGTCCTGGAAACGCATCAGTAGAGGAATACTCTATTCCATACTTTAATTAAAGTCTCATAATTAAAAGTTTTCCACTGCTGCTCTTCAAGGGTAGCGCTCCCATCTTTGAAGTTAGAGTGAGGAAGTAGAACTGAATTATGCCAAAATGGGAAATCCTGTGATCGCTGTTGGTAAAATCACACACTGACTCACTGAGATAACACCTGGTGTGTCTTCTATTCACTGATGTGGACACTGCAAATGACCAGGTCAGTAACAGCATTTCACTTAAAGTTTCCTAGACATTTCTTTGGATACTTTGATAGGTGGTATTATCTTGCTGGGGTTACATGATATTCATGAATGATGAACCAGGCCCTGTAAATTACCCTGTAGTGTATTCACTACTGCAGTGATGAACAGTCCCAGCCAGCAGCAGCAGGCCTTTGCTACATGTGGCTGCTTAAGGCAGTGTTTCCAAACCACTGTGGTGTGGCACAAAGGTGTGCCATGGAAGATTATCTGCTTCCACCTGATTAGTAACGGGCAGCACAATTATATTCTCTTCCACTAGAGGGCAGCACAACTACCTGCTGTAATTCAATGGGTTGCCAACTGCCAGGAAAACAGAAGAAGACGAAGAAGAAATTACTTATGCTATGTCTCAATCAATGACTTGGTCCCAATTCAGGTCCTGCATCGTCCTGTGACGATGGAGGCCACATTTCAGGGCAGATTACGTCACAGCGACGCAACGAAGGCTGTCCCAATTCGACAGCTGTGTCGCTACCAAAGACTGTAGCTGTGTCCCAAAACATCGGCTGCATCCTCCGGAGGCCGCATTTGTAGGCCGATTATGTCACAGTCAGGCGACGAAGGCTGTCGACAGCTGTGTCGCTACCAAAGACTGTTTTCTACAGTTATTGGTCACTACCCGATCTGTACTGGAAACCCAATCGGTACCACGCGTGTGCAAATCTTACGTCACTTCTTCTCTTTACCAACATTGCGACAGTTAATATATTTGAAGAGACACGGTTAGCGCCCAGTTAGCACCTCTCGACACCTCTTTTTCGACTGCCCGGGACATTTAAACAATGGATACCTCCGTATACAAACAAAATCACGCTTTTCTCCTCAACGGAGAACAATAAAATTCACCCGATTGAACAACAGCGACGTAAAATAAGAAGAATGGCGCCTAATTACAGAGTTAATAATACTGACTTAGTAATGTGTCACGTGAAGATTCATCAGCCAGATTAAGTGTTTACTGACAATCGACAGTGATAGTGGACATCATCATCACTATTCCAACAATCCTCTCTGCACAGACAAGCATAAACACACTCGACTATCGCTAAATCAAATTTACACATAGAAACACGATTTGTAATGATGATAGTTCATTCGGTCGCTCAGCAGGTGGCTGTATCCTCGTACACTGGGGAGTAAACTGCCATTAAACGAAACAGAAGAAGAAAAAAACCTCTGCACATGCGCGGTACGGATCGGGTAGACCCCATTTGTATGGTCCCGTCTTTGCACGTGTGCAGTAAGGATCGGGGAGTCCTGAACAATAACTAACTTTTTTTTCCGTTTTTGTCTACATTATCCCCGGGGTGGCTGTAGCTCAGGTGGCAGAGCAGGTCAGCCACTAATCAGAAGGTCGGTGGTTCGAGAGCAGGTCAGCCACTAATCAGAAGGTCGGTGGTTCGATCCCAGGCTGCCTCCTGGCTGCATGCCAAATATCCTTGGGCAAGATACTAACCCCATGTTTGCCTACTGGTGGTGGTCAGAGGGCCCGGTGGCACCAGTGCGCCCCAGGGCAGCTGTGGCTACAATGTAGCTTGCCATCGGCAGTGTGTGAATGGGTGAATGACTGAATGTAGTGTGAAGCACTTTGGGGTCCTTAGGGACTAGAAAAGCGCTATACAAATGCAGGCCATTTACCGTTTACCATATACATATGTTTCTTTATTGCCAACATTTTAAGAGATATCTTAAATGATACTCTGACCCATAACTATCGTAAAATGCTTCGACCGAAAGTAGACACCTTTTGCACAGTGAATCGGTTTTTTTGAGTCATTTGATTCACTGAGTCAGTTGACCAGAGAGTGCAAAAAATTTACATTTTCACTCAAACTTAATTTGTTTCTCTTTTCATGTAAATCTTACTGCTAAGATGAGTGATTCTAAAAGAAAACAACTATTTTATAGAGCAAAAAAAATTCTAAAGGGAACATTTATTTTGTTTATTTTTATTTTATTAGTATTTTCCTTAAATGTGTCAAATATATATTTTCTCATCTAAATGTCCACTGAGCTGTGAGCCAGGGGGCGGTAATGCTCCTTAACATTGGTTGCCAACCAAGAAGAAGAAGAAGCTGTGAGCCAGGAGGGAGGGGGTGAGTGAGTCCTGAGTGATTCGTTCATGATTCATGAGTCAGTAAAGTGATTCTCGAGTATTGAACGATTCGTTCATGATTCGCGCATCACTAGCGTCCTCCTTTTCCCCAGATTTGAAGGATGGGTGGGGTGCGTCCTTTGTGGCCCACCATATCCCAGAATTCATAGCGCGGCCCAGCCAATTTCAGTTTCCAACAATGGTGGCAGCTACTTAGTTTTAATATTACTCTTATTACTCTTTCTGGGTCACAAAATAAACTTTTAAGATATTTTCAGGCGAGAATGTAGCTGTGTAAACTTCAAATATCTGCTCGGTTTATCAAGACATCACATATTTGCAAAAGTGCTCCGATGTTTTCGGAGACGTCTGCTACCCACCAGCTCGATAGGTGACCTGGGAGGTCACTAGAGCCGGCGAGAACAGTGAACTCCCGGCTTCATTGTTTTCAACCCCCTGCGGTCTTTGGCTACTCAGGTTAAACATGATGTATAAGTCACTTAGATAACTAAAAATGTTACTGTTTGGTTTTTTTCAGTTTTTTATTTGTTCCTGAGTAAATCAGTTTGGCTGAGATTAAAGTTATAGTTTTTACACAGCTGAATAAACATCAAGCACACAACTGATTATCAGAAGTGTGAGATGTTCGAGAGTTTACGCCAGTGTCCTGTTATATTTTAGATAGTAAGGAGCAGACGGCTGAGTTTATTAAACTCCACCGAGACAGCTGTGACGCAGATCTGAAGGCTAGACTGTCCAATTTCACAGCCTCGCACTTCCAGCCTTCTCAGTTTTTAGAGGACCCGGCCCACGCAGACCGCGAAGGCCAGGTCCTTCAAAGGATGCAGCCCCTGCATTGGGACACAACCATAATAATCATGCTGTGAGAAAAGAAAAAGTAGTCAGTCTGACCTGGTCCTGGTCCTGGGGGTTGGTTGGAGGATCCTGCCGTGTGGCAGCAAGCACAGTCTGCCCACGATGAGTCTGTGCTGCATTATCTGACACAAATGTATGCATTTCCCTGTTATTTGTGACTATTGCTAAAACCATTGCAAACACGTTCTACAGGAATGTGGTCCATCTTTGGCAAAGATAGTAATAATCAATATAATTATATATCAGTTACTAGGTAAATATATATACAGCTTGCATGTTAAAAGTCAACAATACATTTTAGAACTCTTACCATCTCAGAACGCTGGCCTAATGAAAATGAGGTAATACAATATGGGGGAGTCCAGTATAACCTGACTAAACAGATTAAATTATAATAGAAACA